ACTGTTGGCAGAAATAACAGATGTGAAAGGTGATTTTGATGAGGATTCAGAAAGAAAACAGCTGGAAAAAAAGCTTCGATCTTCTTAGAGAGTACACAAATGAAAAGAATGTTGGCAGACATATACATTAAAGGCCATTCTGGTGATATCTCACATGGAAATGAACAGGTTGCTGGAAACTGGAGGAAAGGTAATCTTTGTTAAAAGGGGCAAAGAACTTGAATGAACTGTGTTCTAGTGTTTTGTGGAAGGCTGAACTTGTGCAAGATGGGACTGGATAGTCAGCTGAGGAAACTTCATAGCAAAGTGTTGAAGGAGCTGCTTGCTTCTTCCTGACTGTTTACAATAAAATGTTTGAGAGAAGGAAAATGTTAAGCAAAAAAAGGAACCTGAAGTGAAAATTTGGGAAATTTTCAGAATATCCACATTGCGAAAAAATGAGAAAACTTGATCTGAAGAGAACACTGAGAGCATGCCTGAATGATTTGATAAGATTAGTATCAATGTGAACCATAATTTAATCAGCCTCCTCAACAGAAACCAGGAATAGAGATGGAATTATACCAACAGAAACACTCCCAGCTGGGACTAAAATAAACAGAGAAAATGAGACAGAATGAGGAAGGCTGTGAAAATGCATTATCTTTTAATAAAAGGATGACCCCAAAGGCAATTCAGAAGTTGTCAGGGCTGCCAATCTCACCACAGGCCCAGGAGACAAGGCTGTCCCTTCCAATTTCAGCAGGACCTTCTCAGTGAGCCACACAGATGGGTCACCCCTCCCAGCTGAAGGGGTGCTGCCAACCTGGTGGGCCTGGAGAGCAGAGCACCAAACCAAAGAGGATTATTCTCCAGCCTTAAGATCCAATCCAACTTACCTTGCTAGGTTTTGAACTTAATGGGATCTATTACCCTATATTCTTTCTGATCTCTCCCTTTTGGAATGGGAATATGTACCTTATGCCTGTCTACCATTTTACTTTGGAAGTACATAACTCATCCATTTTCACAAGTTCACAACTGGAGAGGAATTTTCCCTTAGGATGAATGGTACCACAATTCATGTCTCACCAGTATCTGATTTAGATGAGACTTTGGATTTTAAAGCTGATGCTCGGATGAATTAAGACTTTAGGGACTGTTAGGATGAAATAATGTATTTTCACATGAGAAGGACACTAATTTGGGGGTGGGGGGCTGGGAGGGAATGCTGTGGACTGAATCATATTCCTCGAAATTCTTACGCTGAGTAACACCAATGTGGCTATATTCACACCAATGTGGCTATATTCAGAGATGGGGCCTCTATGGAAATGTTAAGATTCAGTGAGGTCGTAAGGGCTGGGCCTTGATCCTTGGAGATGGTACCACATAAGAGGAAGCGAGCCCAGAGCTCTGTCTCCATCATGCACATACACAGGAGAAAGACAGTCATCTGCAAGTCAGGAAGAATGCCCTCTCCAGAAAAAGGGGTGGCTGGCATCTTCACCTTGGGCTTTTCAGCCCCCGGAACTCTGGGAAAATTAAATTTCTGTTGTTTAACCCACCTATTCTGTGGCATTCTTTTATGCAAGCCCTGTAAGATAACACATGCGCCTCCTCTCCAGTGTGAACTTTCCGATGCTGAATAAAGTATTTGGACAGAGGCTTTCCCACACTTACCACACCCACACAGCTCCCCACCCATGTAGATTCTGTGGTGGCGCAGGTGGCGGGAGCTCACAGAACACTCACTGCTGACGTCATGTCTGTATGGCTTTCTTCCCACACCATGAGTTCTCTGATGCTGGCCAAGTGTGGGTTCAACAGAAACCCCCCTACATTCATCACATCTATAGGGCTTCTCTCTGAAGTGGATTCTTTGGTGTTGGGCCAGATAGGAGCTACAGATAAAATTGCCACACACCTTACAGGGTTCTCCTATGAGTTTGAGTGCACCTAAGAAGATCAAGGCATGAGCTCTAACTAAAGGTTATCTATCTCACACTTACAGATTTTTAGGGTTTCTTTCCCAAATGGAGATGCTCTGATGCTAAAAGACATTTTGAACTGGATTTAAATCCTTTCTTTTCCTACATTTGTAACATTCCAAGGGTTCTCTCCACTGTGAAATATCTAATGCTTAAGATTAGAATTTTGACTGAAGCTTTTAAAACTTTCAGAATGCTTGTAAAATTTCTCTCCAGTATGAATCCTCTGATAGAGTAGTTTTGAATTCTGAATGAGTACGTCACTGCCATTATCACACACATAGGGTTTCCCACCAGAATTCCCACCTGAATTCAGAATTAAATCTGAAGCTTCTGCCACAAATGACACATGTGTGCGTACTTCTTCCTGAAGTACCAGTCTCCTGGGGTCAAAGTCTGACTTTACACTGACATTTGCTCCTATGTGCATCACATCCCTGTGATCCTATTCCTGTGGGGCCTGGTCGCTTGCTGGGAACACGGCAGAGTTCCTCAGGGAGGGTCTCAGAGGAATCTGAAGTGAGCTGATGTCACAAGCTTTCCCCAAACTCGACTCCTGAGGACCATTCCTCAAGACCATTCCCAATGCCAAGAGGAACCATCTGAGATTTCTTCTTTCACAAAACAAGACGGTTTGTCTCCACCTTTATTGCACAATGGCCTGTTTTGATTTAGGTTATACAAGAATCTTCTACTCAAACATGAGTCCACTGAAGACTAAGCCTATGATGTTTCTGCCCTGAAGTTCTCTTTTTATAAGGTAAAGGAGGCCTTGCATTCTGGCCGATGTGCCTGAGACCTAAGAACTGCCGGTAAAACCCAGAGTGGCTCATCACCTGAACTGGTAAGCCAGCACTGTGACCACACGTGTAGCTGCCTCTGTAGATGTCTGAGAACGCAAACAGGTATTGCCTCTAGGGCGTTGGTTCTAGTCACTTTCCAACTGCTAAGCCCCTTTGTTCATCCTTAGTGCTGATCCTTATAACCTCACCATCAGTCACAGACCATGAGCTTCACCATTATATCTCAATAAAAACAATGTTTAATGTTTACTTCCTTTGATAGGTAAACCCCAAAATAAGTTGGGAGTTGAATGGAGGCTGTGCTGTAGGTATCACTGTTTGCAGACCATCAAAGGCCCTTACACACAGCAGACATTCAAAACAATTTTTAAGATTCAATAAAAGAGTGCTAACTAATTTGCCTGTAGGCACAACCCCCTTCTATGTCACAACTTTAATACACATTCCAATTTCTCCTCTCAGGCAGAAGCTGTTAGAATTTTTACCTAAAAATCATGTTGTATATATAGTCAATACTATATTCAATTATACAGACTACAGGTCAGAATATTCTATACAATTCAGATCTGACACAAAACAAAACATCTGGAAATGCAATTTTAAAAATCCTAAAATATGCCATTTCTATGCCTCAAATAACAGATAGCAAAACAAACAAACCCCTTTATACTTTCATTCCTTCAAAATAAGACTGCAGTCCTTTTACGAAACAAGTATATCATGAGAGCCTGACACTTCCAGATATGAAATTTCATCTTAAAACACTAAGCCACTGAGATGCTCATGCCCTGGAATCAATTTCTCACAAGGAAATGAATAAAAAGAGAAAACTGTATATTGAGAGATGCTGGTCACAGACAGGACGATGTTCAGGGTGTGCTAAGGATCCCACGGGAAGTGGCACAGTAAGGACAGGAAAAGTGAACTGGTGCAATGTTCCATTTTGGCCAAGAATGCTTTTTTATTAACATCAGAAATGGTAAAGGGAAACATACAAAAGAAAAGCCTTCCCTGTTACCTTAGGGAACATTCTCAATTTTTACACTCTCTAAAAACCAATCATTTTTATCTTGCACAGTAACAGGCAAACATCCACCAAAAGAGTCCAGTATTAAGGTCAAGTTTGGATCTTGCAAAAATATCTACACGTGATATATTTATGGGCCAGGCAATGCAAAACTAAATTAGTACAACTGACATTATACTGTGTAATTGATACAATCAACACAAAAGTGCCCCACCCTGCAGCTGTTTAGGTGGTCAATAAATGTTAACTCCATTCAATTATGTCAAGTACATGCTGCTTTGTCTTAGGGGTTAGAAAAACCTTTCCTTTAGGACATATACTCATTCAGCTAGTAGCTATTTCCAAATTTCAGTATGGCAAACTCCTTTTCAAAATTCTTCAAAACCCAGCTTGCTCCAAGTTCAAGTCCACACTCCTCAGCCTGGCTTTCAGGATTCTGGCTGAACTGTTCCCACCCAGGCTAAGAGTAAGTGATGGCAAAGCCTTCAGGGGCCAGGCAAATAATGAGTGAGGGAAGCAGACACTCCTGCTTTGGGGTCAAGAGACACAAGGGGTTGTAACGACACTGTGGCTCTAGCCACTTGTCATCTGCCAAGAGTATGGACTCAGGACAGTTGAGAATGAACGATTGTGAGAGAAGTTGGCAATCCAGACTGTTAGGTGTAATTTTCCAATTTTAAGTGTGGAAAACTCACTTACATAGAAAGCACAGGGCCTGTAAACTTAAATCTCTCCCTGAGCCATAAGCCAAGAGGCCAGCAACCTCACTTCTACCCAGAAAACACTGATGTGACCAAAGACTCGGAGCTGCTCCATGCTTCCCACAGGGGAAGGGGCAGCCTGCTCGTTACCTGGCTGCTGAGATGCACTAGGCTTCCTGCCACATTCCCAGAAGCATGCCTTCCCTCGGCTCTTCACCTTGCCAAGTTTGTCAGGCAGCTCAGGTAGCCTGCCTTCACCTTTTGTAGGCCTCTGGAATGGCTGGGCACACAAGTAGGGATGCCCTGCATTATATTTTAACCGGGTTTCACAGTTTACTATTTGCTGAATGCCTGAATTGTAAATAGAGCAGAGGGGTCTAAGAAAAGGCCCTAGGTAAGATGGGCCACACCCCCCAGATCAGGGCAGGGTACAGACTAACAGCAAAGCGGCTCCGAGACAAGAAAAGGCACAGGTCTAGGAAGAGACTTCAAGACTCACCTCATCTCTTGTCGTCAGGAGCCCCGGGACCATATTCCTGGTGTGCTGAGCGCTCTTCCTAGACAGAGTCAAGCTGCAGAGGCAGAGCTAGGGGGAGAGGAGAGAGGTAAGGGGGTGCCTGGGTGGTGAAAACCCATCCACCTGGCCTCCCAGTTCAGCAGGGGTGAGGCGAGAGAAGAAGGCAGGCTGCAGAGGGCATCAAAGCAGTCCATTCTTAACTGTAAATGAGGCCCCCAGGGCTGGGTCAGCAGTAGGCTCAACCCCTATCTCCAGTTGGGAGACGGAGCCCCCAACACCTGGGTGAGACTCTGTCCCTGTGGGGACTCTAGTAAAAGGAGAAGGGCCTCAGAGAGCCCACAGGTGAGCACTCACATTGAGAAATCCAGTGACGTGCCATAGTAAAAACAGAAACTCACCACCCACAACTGCCCAGAGGCCAAAGGATAAGGCCCAGGAAATTCAAAACAGAAAGAACACTGCAGGTCTCCACAGAATGTAGATTTTGGGGTGAGACTGGAAGCAGACTGGAAGCCATAACATGGCTACACCCACCCTTCCACTTTTATATCCAAGATTAGGGTCCCAACATTTGAAATATGACTTGAAATTTAAGTACAGGCAGTCAGCAAATGGCCCAGGTCTTCAATGAGTCAATTTTATTAAGAAATTTTTAAGAGGGGAAATTTTCCTTAATGCAAAGATACTTAAGAAAGAAACCATTTCATTCTTCAGATCACATTTATAAACCTTGACTAGGTCCTAGTTTGTACAAATGAAATGAAAACCGTTTTGGGGACTATGAACAATAGTTCAGTATGAACTGGGTATTAGATGATGTTAAAGAGTTATTGTGACTTGTTAGGTATGATCATGAAATTCTGTACATAGAAAAAAACAAGTCATAATTAAGAAATTATTCTGAAGTACTGAAGGATGAAATGAGATATTTCCATCTTTTAAAAAAATTGTGAGGTCTTCACCAAGTTAATAGCATAAAAAGAGAGAGCTCTTATGGGATAAAAGAAGACTTTTAAAGTAGGACGCAAATAGAAAACAAACACTAAAAGGAGAGACATGAATCTAACCATGAAATAAACCCACCAATTAATTAAAAGGCACAGACTGTCAAACTGGATAAAAAAGCAAGACCCTACCCCTAATGCTGTCTACAAGAATCACGCTTTAAGTATAAAGACACAGGTCAGCTGGAAGAAAATGGATAGAAAGAGATATACCATGCAAACAGCAAACATAAGAAAGCTGGAATGGCAATACTAATATCAGATAAAGTATACTTCAAACCAAAGAGTATTAGCAAAGACACAAGGAGATGTTTAATAATAATAAAAGGATCGAGTCATCAGAAAAATATACCAAAGGCAAATGTATATGCATCTTACAACAGTGCTTCAAAATATATGAAGCAAAAATTAACAAAATTAATGGAGTAGACCATTCCATAATCCTTGTGAGCACCTTGTCTTTATCAGCAACTGATAAAGTAATCAATAAATAAATTGATAGCACTGGTAAAACTACTGCTAAATAAACTGACAAAAATAACTAGACAAATCAGTGAGGTAATAAAAGATCTGAACATAATCAAACAATGTATTGTTAGAACAACAGCCAACAACTGCAGAATATAGTCTTTTCAAGGGCCCATCATACCTTCACCAAAACACAGTATATATGCTGGATCATGAACTAACTCCCAACAAACTTGTACGGACTGACATTATAGGTAATTTCTTCTTTGACTTGAATGGAATTAAATAAGAAATCACAAGTATCTAGAAAATTCCCAAATCCCTGGAATTTAGAAATTGGGTGGCGAAAGCTGGATTTACCAAGCACAGACAACTTTCTTGATAGCTTTCATTATAAAGGGAAGCAGAGATGGGACAACTAAAGGAAGAAATCATGACCCTGGTCTGGTCAAATCCAGGACCCTGCAGTGGGTCCCGAAGAATGAAATCCTACACCTATTACCTATTACCATGGCATCCACAGCCTCCCAGTAACAGCCCAACACCCTTTCTCACTGGAGTTTCCACCACACCCCTGACAAACATTCCTTTCTGAGCAGCAAGGGCAACCCCTCCTGTCCTCATAGCTGGGTGCCAAGCAGTGATTCATGGGGAGCCAGACAAGGTCCTCAAAGATCCATCTCAAAACCAGTCAGACAGCTGGCATGCACCACGTGAGCCACAGAGTCTTCAAATATAAAGTGCTCTGCGACTACAGGCAACAGTGGGATTCTGACAGAGAACACTCAGAAATCTTTGCACCAGAGAAACGTGAGCTAGTTAGTTAACAAGAGTGAATGTGTGAAGCATAAAAGCCTGAAGGAATAAAACTTCCGGAATAAAATATATTCCCACAATTCCCACAATGCGGAGGCAACTGAGAATTGATAATCATCACCACAACTCACTGTGTGCCAGGCACCCTAGTCCTTTCTGAGGAATGACTGACTGCACGACTCCTTGACCAAACCTGACATTGCCCTCAGCCTCATTTACAGGTGACAAAGGAAAGGGAGGTGTCTCGCCCGGAATGCAGGCAAGTGCCCACAGCCATGGAGTCAGGACATGGTGGAGGCTCCGAGTGTGACTTTCAGACTCAGCAATCAGGGATAGGCAAAAAAAAGGGGGACCCAGGAAGAAACTGAACTAGAACATGAGAAAAGACAATATGCTGAGCTAACACCAAGAAGGGAGGGGAGACAGGAAGAACTGACGAGATGCAAAGGCTCATAGTGGGAAATGTGGGAGACCAAGGAGGCATACAGTGTGCAAGAGGCGGATCTGACATGAAGGTTTTCCTTAAAGACCTTATTCATACAGAATATGGAAGCATTTACAGGTAAATGACATCTGGGGTTTGCAGCAAAATAGCTGCAGATAAAACTAAAAGGAAGAATGGAAGTGCAGAATGCTGACAATCACCAAAGCTGGGTGAAGAGCACACAGATAGATGCTCTTTGAGGATTCTCACTGCTTTCGCTGGTATCTGTAAAACTTACATAATAAATTTTATGTTTAATAACCCAATCTCCCTCCACATTCCAAGATAAGGTAAGTAGAAAAAACTTAAAAGGGGGTGGTGGTGAGGAATGTGGCCTGAAGACACCGGATGGTCTGGTCCGATTCCTATCTTCTGCTGGTGTCATTAATGTCAGCAACAGAAGTTAACATCAGGGAGTGAGACCAAGGACCAGGATAAAGTGAAAGAGTGTTCTACCTTTATCAGCATTAGATAGAGACACAAACTTGAAAAGCAGAGCCTCTCCCCTTAAATTTTCATTAAAAACTTTAAAGAACAGTTAGTTCCAAGGTAAAAGCTCTACCACACCACTTCCCTCTCTATAAAATGAGAATGCTACTATGCATGCCCAAGACGCTGAGGAAATAGAGGCAGTGAACAGAAGGCACGCGACCACCACCACCTACTGCTCTTAAACAGGATTTCTCACCTGTTTTGCTCATGCTCCAAAGCCCTGAGAAATAGCGGTGGAGGGAATGCACAGGGAGAGAAGCAAGGTGGGTGGGAACTCCCTGTTGGAAAGCCTCTGTAGGAGGGCAGAGGAAGGTGCCCTAGGAGGACCCCTGGGCAGGAATGTGTCCCTTCCAGAGGCAAGGCTCCTTTCTGGGCAAGGACCTGCAGCTCTGAGCCCCTCAGGGGGATATTACACATCACAAGCTGTCAGGGAGGAGCAGAGCAGTGCACCCTCTGTTATGAGCAAAGACCACAGGCACATGAACACAACCAGGATGTGGTGCCTAGCTGGACAGGACTGCCAGCCCCTAGGAGATCCCCACTCTCTAATAAGCACTTCCCCTCGATGTAGGGGGACCACGCCCACTCCAGGACAGGCCTGAGCATGCAGTAGGGGCTCTGGCCTCAGGATTCTCTCCCAGCCTAGAGAGGAGGCTGGAAGCGCCCAAGCCTGCAGCTGGAGTCCCTCCCCTTCGCTAAAGTAAGGTATGAGAACCAGGCAGGGAAGGGAAAGACAACCACAGGGGCAGACACAGGCTGTGGGTTTAAGAGCAAAGCTCTGACCTCATGCTGACACCCTGCAGGACATTAATCCTCCGTGTGCCCAGGGGGCTTAGTAAAAGCACAAATGTGCCAGACCCAAGCTTTTACCCCTTTCCATACTCAGACCAGCTCCAGGAGATTCAGTACTTGCTCAAGGCGACTCAGTGAGAAAGGGGCAGACCCAGATTTGAACTCTTCCTGTGGAGGCCGGGACTCGCAATGCAGGCCTAGCATAGTCCCCTGGGCAGAGCCAAGGCCCAAAGAGATGCACAGTTGGGGTTGCAGATTTGGAGAAGAAAGGCCAGGGCTCTTGTTAAGTGGTGAATCTAAGCGATGAATCCGCGGAATTTTACGGTGACTGGCTTATGTTTGCAATGTTTTCATAATGTAAAGTTAAAATGAATAACTTAAATCTGGATGTCTTGCCCCCACTAATTCAGGAATACAACCAGCAGGCCCCTGGGCTAGGGGAAGGCTTCCTGTCTCGGCACCATTGCACTTGCTCCACTCCACACCACACCCTGACGGCGGGGGCCCAGACCGCAGCTCGGCCCCAGTGCCCCCACCATCAAGGCAAGTCTGAGTTTCTGCCGCTGGCCAGCCTTCCCCAAAAAGCGGCCTCGGGGCCCAGAGGCGCCGCCGCCACGGCGAGTCCCACCCAGCCGCAAGCGCGCCCGGAGGGAGGCGCCTGCTCCGGAAGAGGGTGACCGTGTCCCCAAAACCAAACCCGGCTACGACGCTCCCTCCAGGACGGGATGCTAGGCCCCCGACCCGGGGGATAGCTTGCGACCTGAGCCCACCGACGACGGCCCCTCCGAGGCGCCCCGGAAACCAACCCTCTAGGCCCGCGGCCAGAGCGGACCACGCCGCTCGCCCTCGCCCGGCCTTCCACCCCTACCTGGCCTTCTGCTCGAGAAGCCGGCAGCCGGGGGCTGGCTCGCTCACCACGGGCGGGAAGGACGGCCAGCGCGCGGCGAGCGTCCGGCTAGCTCCAGCCAGCGCTACCCACACTGCCCTGAGGGCCGGGACTACACACCCCATGATGCCCCGCGGCAGGTGCTCCATTACCTACGGCGCTGCGGACCCCGACTGCAGTGCCTGCACTGGCGCGGGGCGGGAGACTGCGCCTGCCTTAGCAACCCGGGCTAGGGGATTCAATACCCACCAACGCCCCGCGGGGACCGCCTGGGGTCCTGCGCTCCTCAGCGCCGCTGGAGCCTACGCTCACGTCACTGGATTGCACGCCTTGGGCTCTTGGACAAATTGTGAAAAAAGTAAAACTGACCTTTGGGTACGTGAGAAGGTTCAGGTGAGCAGTAAGATCTGTTAACTTATACGGTCCTTGTAATTTTGGCTTAAGTTATTTATATATATATGTATGTATGTCAGTTCCCTGGATATGTACTTGTCCTCCATCCTGCAGAATCACACCTGTGTTTTTACACTTAAATAACAGCGCATGATTAATGAACTTAAAAAATGCAAAAGTGCTAGAAAAATTAAACGTGCAAGATTTAAAACTACAGTAATTAAAATCATCTTACTAATACAAAAGTCGTTGATAGACGTAACAGAATGGAAAGCTCAAAAACTTGGTCTTTATAAAGAGGCACACTCTTTTCCTACAAATTTGACGAAAATATTTCCAAATTACTTCTGTTGGGGAAGCATTGTATCTTTTCCTCGGGCCTTGTCCCCGCCGCGACAAAGAACTGGAAGGGCAGAGAAACAGTGAAGCAGAGTAACAGTTTTATTTAAAGTTACTTAAAGAGAGAAGTGCAGCAGGCAACCTCAGCAAGGAGAGGCGCCCTGAAAGGTTTGGAGAGAGAAAGGTTAAGATTAAAAAGGTTACACACTTACAAAGTGTGGGCGACCTCAGAGAGAGGAGCGCCCCGAAAGGCCGGGGATTCCCCCTTTTATGGATTCTTTAGGAATGTGACTAAGGGCTGGGGATGCAGACTTGTTAAGTGGCCTTTGAATACTTAGAATTAACACAAGGAGGTTCCTGCTCTGATTTCTCCCTGGGATACCGGAGTCCTGGTCTGGGAGCAGATCACACAGGCTGCCTGCCCACCCCCCAAGGTGGGCTGAGTTATTGTCTGTTTGCTAAAGAGTAAGTTAAGAATCTTACATTTTTAACTTCCTGGGTATTAAAATATAAGTCCTTCCTGACTTTCACTATGTTGTTTACAGCTGAGCCTGCATGTTTAACACAGTAAAGACATGGGCTATGCTGAGGTACCCTCCTTTATCTGGGGAATATTCAAACATTCCAGGCCAGGTTGCTCCTGGCTTTTTAAGCTTTAATTGATTAATTTGGGGTCTTTTTGAAAGGAAAGGAGCGACACATAGCAGCAATTCACCGGAGAGTTCCGCTTTATTAGGGAAAGGTGCTGGGTTATATAGGAGGGGGCATGAATTGATTGAGGTGTCACTTCTACGGGGCTGGTGGCTGTTGGCTAGGTGCTGGGATTGGGAGGGGGGCGAGAGGTGATTGGGCTTCAGGTGGCGCCGGCGGGAACTGAGGACCCCGAAGAGAAGCCGGAAGTTTGCCATCTTACTGGTGGGGACCCTTCACTTTTTAGTGGACTTTCTGGCCTTTTTCTCTTTCCACTCCACTCGTATCTATTTTCCTGCCTAACACTTCCTATTTACTTCCTCTCAAAATGAAGTAACAGGAACCAGATTCAGTGTCCTGCGTTTAACAACTTTGAAAAGGACAAAATATATTAAACAACAGGTTTGAACATTGTACATATGACAATGAAGAGCCGTGAACCTTGAGATGTAGGTAAGGATCAAGGTAAGCCCATGAAATTTCTGGATGGAGAGAAAATTCACATCACAGGATAGAGAAGGGAAACCCAAAAGGAGGGTTCTCCTCCTCACTGTCGGTTGGGTCCTGGCCAATACCACACCTGTGACATCCCTGGGAAGAAACCACTGGCATAGATTAGAGGAAAATACTGTGAGCTCACGTAGGGCCAGAAACAGTGCCTGTTCCCACCAGAGTGGAAATCTTCATAATTCATACGGCATTCCCTGTAGTACTCAAAAGGGTTTTGCCTCAATGCTTGATTGAGGTAATTTTTATATTAAACTTTTGGGAGTGTCAAAGATGTTACAGAAATCTTAAAAGTTGCTGTCATTTTTGCATGAATTATGTATGCAGAACTTCACATATTCTTATACAAACAAAATTTTAAAGAAGCCTAAATTCAAGGTCTCCCATAAAATGAGCTGTAAATTTAAATTGAGCCACTTATAAGAGCATTTGCATATTTTTCAACACCATAAAGAATCTTGATTTTTTTTTCATGTTGCTTTATTTTTATTTTGGTATTGAGACAGGGGCCATGGATGCAGTCAGAGTAGGGTGAGGGTCTCTGGAGGGGGCAGGGCGGGATATTTGCAATCAGAGCAATGTAACTACATGCAAGGAAACCCCCCCCTGCTAAAACTCTGTTTAACATTGAGCTCTAGAATCATTCTTCAGTGAAATCAGTTAATGTTCCCCAGATAAAGAAGAGTAGCACACGTTTTATTATGCTAAACTTTTGTAACCATGTGGAAGATTCACTTTAGCATACTAAAAGGCCCAGGCCTATGTGCTGTCTTTCCTCCTTCGGATCTGATGAGGTGATTCTGCAAACTGAGCAACTAAATTAGCATGCAGACCCAGCTGTAAACAGCATAGTAAAGGGCAGGAAGAATTCCATCTTGAAGATAAGATTGTATTTTAACACCCAGGAAGCTCAAGAGGCAAGATTCTTTAGCAAGTAGACCATACCTCAGCCCACCTTGGGGGCTGGGCAGGCAGCCTTTTGATATGCCCCCCAGACCAAGATGCTGGTATCTCAGGGAGAAATTATCAGAGGAAGTTACTTGTGTTAAGTTAATTCTAAATGGGACCACTTAACAAGTCCACACCCCTAAGTTTTTTCATGTTCTCGAAAAATCCTCAGCTGCCTATAAAACCCCCTAGACAACACACCACTACAGACTCTCTTGTCCCCTCCTGGCGTTAGCCGGGAGCTCTATTCTCTCACTTTATTTCTAAATAAAAGCCTGTACCGTGCTCTCCTACCTTGACTGTTTGTGAAGCTCATTCTTCGGCTCTGCAAACAAGAACCCCGGCATCATCTTTGGGGGCTCGTCCGGGATAACTTCAGAGGTGAGTATCAGCATCCAAGCCTGCCTTTTCTTTTGCTGTCCTTATAGAAGGAAGCCGTCTGTGGCACACAAAATCGGGCACTTGTCAGGAACTTAAATGTGACTAGCCTGGCTGCCGATCTCAAAGTCTCAAGCGACAGGTTCCCCTGTATCTCCCTCAGTGGATCCCCCGTCTCCCTTGGGAGCTGGGAATGTCAGCTGAGTGGAGACCAGGATTCCCTTTCAGAGGCATCTCCTCGGATGCGAGGGACTGAGGAAAGCCGTGGGCAACTGCAAGAGTCTAGGCTGAGGATGCACCTCAGCGGCTTCTCAAAGGCCTGTGTGTCTGGAATCAGACCCTGACAGCCCAACTGGGTATCCGTGAGGAGCGTCTGTCTGTCTCTGTCTCTGACTTCCAGCCAGCTTCTTCAGGCTGCCCTGGACTCAGTGAGGCAGGGGGCGTTCCTAACTCTTCCAACTTCATCAGTCTCATGGAACCTGATGCTCACCACCGCAAGGGAGGAGATCCACGCTCTGCTCTTATTCCTAACTAAATGCTGTACTTTTTATCTCATAAAAATGTGTCTGGGCACCCGTTAGCCACGTAAAAGATGATTACCGTCAGCTACCAGTCTTAAGTCTCGGGTGAAAGGTTTCCCGGTGTCTGCCGCTCCTTGATCCCCCGCCTCCAGACGGACGGGAATACCGGGGAGTGGCTGAGCTGATTTCCTACTTTCCTATCCTAATCTGCGGACTCCAAGGGCAGACCGGACTAGTAGACAGTGGTCCTTGGATCTCGGCTCCAGCCGATTGATCCGACGGCGCTGAGTGAACCTCCGGCTAGGCTGCTGCCTATGTGAGAGTCACAGATGACCCCTGACCTCTTGTCTCAGTGATCAGATTTGTTATAGTGGGCAAACGGCTAGATCATTTCCAGGCAGTGGCAGAAACTGGTGTTTGAGAGTATAGACCCCCCCCCCCCATAAATGTCCATGGCAGCCCCTGAATTTTATTTCTGGCCTTAGCAAAAAGATCCCTTGTTCCCCATTCAAAGCCCCTTAAGCCTGTGCCACTTTCTCCTGTGTAATGTAAATGGCTCTATTCTGTTGATCTCCTTTCCTTAGAGGCAGTTGTCCTGGGGCTAGGCATTTCCTTTTCTGCAGCCCCGGGGAAGCAAAACAGGTTTGTGACTTAGATCAGGGCTCTGGCAGCAAGAAGTCACACAGTCCTGCACTTATCAGACAGGCAGGGAGCACTCAAGGAAAGCTTGTGCAGAGAAAACTAGGGCAACTCCCAAAAGCACAAAGTAAGTAGGAGCACACTGGTAAGTTCCCACTAAATCCAGAGCTCTGAGGCAACTCTTGCTTAGTGGGAAGGCAAGAGGGGAATCAAGGCAAGGTGCAGGCCACGCTGGTAAGGAGTGGTTAAATCCAGTAGGCCTGGCAGAGGAGGTGATTGATCACTGTCACCCAGGCTCCAAGGCGAGGGGACGCCCTCACAGAGGAAAAGCCAACCAGGTGTTGCACACTGGTCTTTCTCTCTTCCGGACAGGAGCTTCCTCTTCAAGGTTAAGGCCAGACACGTCTCTGGCATGCATTCTGAAGAACTGGGAGAAATTTGATCCCCAGACCCTGAAAGAAAAAGTGTCTTATCTTCTGCACACAAGCCTGGCCTCAATACAGACTCTCTGATGGGGAGGCTTGGCCCCTGAGAGAAGTATACTATATAATAGTTACGCAGCTAGATTTATTTTGCCACAAAGAAGGAAAATGGTCAGAAGTCCCATATGTACAAGCTTTCTTTGCCCTTAGAGAAAGTAAAAGACCATGCAAAGAAAGTGGATTAATTCCAGACCCTACTCCAAGCCCTAATTGTCCCCCATTGGCTCTGCCATGTCCACCTTTTCCAGATCTAAGCCCACATGCTGAGAATCCTAAAAGTCAGACCACAAGAGAACTACCACCCCAGGCATCATTGGCCCAATCACCCCACCAGACTTCCTCGGGAGTGAAGAAAAGACAGTTATACCCATCTTTATTGCCCCTACAGGAAGTAGCCAATGGAGAGTGGGGATGGGCTCCAGTCCACGTCCCCTTCTCCCTCCAAGACCTGAGGCAAATTAAACAAGATATGGGTAAATTTTCAGATGATCCAGACAAATACATAGAAGCCTTCCAAGGGCTTATTTTAACTTTTAAGCTGGCCTGGAAAGATGTTATGCTTATATTAAACCAAACCCTTACCGGAGGAGAGAAAGAAAAAGTATTCAGAGGAGCCTTAGAGTTTGGAGATGAATGGTATACTATAAATGCGAGTGGCAAATCTCCAGAGGAACTAACACGAGTCCCCACTGGCTGT